GGCTCCCGGAGCCCCGGGTCCTCCGTCTCTTCCCAATGGAATGGTCTGGGCTGCGGGGGCCCTTCTCTGTACCCTCACCCTCTCCGGGGTCGCTCAAGACCCTGGAGCCCAAAGACCCCGCGCCGATCTCTAAGCTGGAAGACACTGCAGGCTGGGAGGGAAGGGGCTCCTTCTGATCCCCAGAACCCTGGCTGCCACTAGACCGAGCTCCCTCTGCCGCCGGGCTTGCTGCTGGGAAGAGAGCTAAAGAGTTAGTTTCCTTAGACTCTTGGAAACTTGGGAAAGGGTGCGGCGCACCACCTTGGCATTCACTCATTGTCACTTTCAATAAACACCTTGGCAGCGCCACGAACATGCCGCATAGATGCGACTTGGAGACTGCAGAGACAAGATTTCTGCCTGGAGGAGCTCAGAGCAAGTCAATCTTCCAGTGGTTGAAAGGTAAGGGGCGCACTCAAGCACTTGGAACGTACCCACCTGGCTCTGCTGGCCCTGGACAGACAAAAGAGAAAGGAGACGCGGGCTTTCTGCAAAAAACAAAATAAAACAAAACTCTTTGGGGGAATCTGCACCCCCCTCCCCCACTCCCCCCAGCCATGGAGAGGGTTAGGCTGGAGAACTTCCGAACCCAGAGAAGGCACCTGACTTACAGGAGGTGATGTCTAACGTTAGAAGTTAGCTCTACAAATAAGACCTGCCTTCAGGGAACTCAAGATACTCCTTTGGCAGAAGCATGGGGACTGGGATCAAAGGGAGGAGTGGCCGGCGGGAGTGTCTTGGACCCTGACCTCTTCGGACCATAGATGCCATGGTGAGTCCTGAAGGTGCCAGGAAAGCAGTGCCTGGCACCAATACTGGGAGAGGTGCATTCGATAGAGGAAGGCCCGATTCCGGCAGGAAGACCGTCCCACCTGGACGAAGGCAACAGACATCATAAACTATGCTGGCGCGGGCTGAGAAGGACAGGCAAATTTGAGGGCTGTCTAGAGCTCAAAATTCACTGCCACTGAGCCGATAAGGACTCTGGAAGACCCCATAGGACACAGCAGAACTGCCCTGTGAGTGTCCTAGACCCTAACTCTTTACGGGAGTAGAAAGGCTTTCTCCCACAGAGCAGCTGGTGGTTTTGAACCGCTGACCTTGCTGTTACCCAATCCAGTACATGAGCACTATGCAAGCAGAGCAAGAGTAGGTCAAATCTGGAGGCTGTAAAGGGAGTGGGAGGGAAGGAGGCGTCAAGGACTATTCAGGTGCTTTAAATATGGGCATCTTGATGGAAGGGGCTGCATTTTTAGGATGCAGGGCATGGAAGCAGGTGCGGTAAATGCAGGTTGTGTTCTCCTGGTGCCACCTGCATTTCTAGGGGAAGATGCCCTGGAGGGAGGTGCCCTCAAGACCCGTGGGTCACCTGGGTGACCACGGTTCAAGAGAGGTATGAGGACTGGAGATGCAGATTTGAGAGTCATTAGCATTGTAGGAGCCCTTGCGTGGCACAAATGGTGGAGCGCTTGACTGCTAGGTTGGTGGTTCGGACTCACCCAGAAGTGTTTCAGGAGCTAGGCCCGGTGATCTGCCTCCAAAAGGTTCCCGCCTTAAAAAGCCCTGGGAGCAATTTTACTGTGCGCACACAGGATGGCCATGAGTCAGACTCCATTCAACAACAGCTAAGAGCATCAGTGTGCCTGTGGAGACTGCGTCCCTGGGCTGGAGGAGCTCTTGCAGGGAACCAGTGTTGAAAGAGAGGAAGAGGAGGAGTCAGAGGAAGAAAGGAGAGCAGGGCAGGACCCTAGAGAGAATCTACCTGGAAAGGAGGAGGAGTGGCCGAGAAGGAAGTTTGAAACCATAGAAAGATCCAGGGACATCCAAAGAGGCCACAGGAGAGAAGTTCAAAGTCAAAGAGAGAAACTGTCATTCATTGCCAAGTAAGGGAAGAAAGCCCAGGCCAATAGCAGTTTCTAATGACCTATTGGCAAGCAAAGACCACTAGGTTATAGGAAGTTTCCCAGACCATTCTAACCCAAGCCTGTATCTTCTGCAAGGAAGCCTGGGAGATGGTCTTCTTGGGGAGAGCCCCGTCCTTCCTGCCCTGAGGCAAACTTGTTGCCCCAGCCGTGTGTGTGTGTGTGTGTGTGTGTGTGTGTGTGTGTGTGTGTGTGAACTCCAGTGCTGGGGTCTCCTGCCACGTTGGATGACATGCTCCCCTAGCTCTCGTTGTCCAGATAGGGTCTACACTGCTTGTTGCAGGTGGCCTGCCAAGCATATCCTTTTGTCTGTGTTAAAGACTTTTTTGCAAAAACAGGGTTTGAGAGAGGGGAATGCTGCTCATACTCTTGCTGGACGAGGCTCTGAGGTAGGGCTCCTGGGATTTAGCTCCGCTTTGTCTGGATCATTTTCCTTGGTGTGGTGTTTACGCTCCCCTTTTTTTGGAGCCTCAAGGAAGAAAACTCCAGGGAACAGAATAGGAAGAATGGCTGTTTGTCTGCTCTGCTGCAGGTCAAGCATTAAAAAAAAAAAAGGCATCAGAGCAATCACCCCATTCAGTGAGTCCAGGTGGACCCTAAGTCGTGAGTTGGGAAGACTGGACTGGCCAGGCTAAGGTAAAGAACATAGAGACTTCAGTGGGTCGGTTCCAAGGTAGGAGCTGCTGTGAAAATAGCCCCTTCCCAATATCGGATGCACTTGATCCAGGAAAGAAAATTCCCAAGAAGGATGGCATGAAGCACCCTTGACAAGATCCGCCAAGTAACTGCCAGCCTTGCCCGAGCCATGGTATTGCTGTGACAAAGTTGTCTGGGGGCAGGGGACTGGATTCAAACCTGGTACTGACTCCTTATGTAGCTTTGGGCAAGCAATTCAAGCTCTCTGGTTCTCAGTGGCTACCCTTATAATGAGAATAAAACAGACCTTCCAGGATCATAGGGTTGATTACATGATATAGATTCAAATAAATGTGAGTTATTACTATTATAACTGCGCTCAGTATTAGAGGTCACCGCAAAGATGATCCTTTAGCAGTTAGAGCAGTAATTAAGAGAAAATGCTCATGGAATGAGATGAAAAGAAGAAACAAAAACATTTATCTGTTTCAACCTGACCACTTGGCATAGGTTCTTGGAAAGTGCCCAAAGAGATCCAAGCTCAAGCCGAGTCTTAGGGGAAGCTTTCCCCCTCTGGGGCAGGGAGCATTTGTCTGCATCACAGTTCCCAGGGAAGACGGCCTTTGTGCAGAAAGAGGAGAGCCCTCCCAGCCTCTATCCAGCTCTTCTTCAAGGAAGATTTAGGGGCTTTGGGGGAAGTCAAGTAATCTTGCTGGACCTCAGTTCCTTCATCTGGAAAACTAACCTTCCATGACTTGAGCTTTTCTATGAGTCCGTGAAGGGATCGCCGTGATACTTTGTTTACTGTTTAGATGTGAAACATTCCCACCACCACCTCCACCCCCTTTTAGAAGCATACATCTCAGAACACTGCAAACGCAAGCGTGCACTTCACTGAGGACAGGGGCCAGAGGTGAGGCAGGAAGGAGACGGAATCTTCCAACCCCAATGGTCCGGAGCCAAACATGGAGAACGAGCACACTGCAGACAGTTTATTTGGGACATTTATTTGATTTCTATGTTCATCTAGAAAAAGAGAAAGAGAGGCTTGTTTGGCACAATAATTACTAGATTTTTCCCCCCAAGCACTTTATAAAAATGACTACTTTCCCAGTCTGTGGAGCATATAAGAGCAACCAAAAAAATGTTTAAATGTGTTTAATAACCCCAAAGTGTGCTTGAACAGGGCTTAAATATCACGATGAAGCCGTAGTTCCAACAAATTCCTCACAAAGGAACCTAAGAAAGAAACTGGATCTAGGCTTGTCAGTAGGGAAACTGGCCTTTGCAGTCTGCCCAGCCTCCTTTCTGCCACCCTCCCCAAGGTTCCTGGTGGTGGGTGGGTACTGGGGGAGAGAGCTGACATGGTCAACATAAATTCCAGGGGACACGGAGTCTTTCCAAGTCCCCACCATGTATTTAATTAGGGAGTTCTTGAAATTCAGCCCCCTAAAACTTGCAACTACCAGTTGTCTGCTAGTTTGTCTTACTGTGATTTTGCTTGTGTGTTGCTGTGATGCTGGAAGCCATAGCACTAATATCTCACATGCCAGCAGGAACAGATTTGGCGCATTGACTACTGATGACAGGAGATCTGATGAGCTGTGGGAGGACAGCAAGAGCATCATTCACAAGAGCTGTGGGAGGACTCAGCAAGAGCAAAGGGTCATTACAAACACAGGATAAAAAGAAAAGATCAATCTGGATGTCAGAGAGATTCAGAAACTTGCTTTTAATTGTAGGCTAGCTAAAGGAAACAGAAGAAACGACGAAGTCAAAGAGCTGAACTGAACATTTCAAGTGGCAGATCGAAAAGACCAAGTCAAATATAATAATGAAATGTATAAGACCTTGTGGTAGTTACGTAATCTCGTGTCAACCTGAGGATATGAAGCGTGAAGGGGAGAGAGTCAGAGACCATGCTGCAGGCAGCAGCTGCAGCCAGACCCCCAACTGGGCCTTCCCTGCCACTTACCTGGTGGCTCTCAGCAAGGGTGTGTGCAGCTATACCCCCCCACCCCACCCCTAATACCCCAGGAAGCTGGGCAGAGTCTCCC